TATATGATTATCTGTGCTGTTCCTGGGTTGCAGAGGGCATGGGCCATTTTCCCACGATCTTGCAACAGATGATAGGTAAAGGGCGTACGTGCGCTGTTGCTTAACAAACCGGGGAACCGGGGAAGGGGTACCGGTGTTGTAGGTAAGGTAAGGTAGGGTACCGGTATGTTGTTTGTAATGCCGGGACAGAGGACGTGCCTCGCGGGGCAGGGCAGGGCGACGGGGTGCGGTTGAAGACGGCTTGTTGGGTATTGTCAACCTTTGGGACCGTCTCCGCCTATCGCTATGAGGCTCTGTCTTCTGTCTTCGGTCTGGAGGAGGAGGAGAAGGAGGAGGGAGAGGAGGAGAGACGTCATGTTTACTTTTCCCCCGCCTCCTCCTACCTACTCTCGGGGCACGGAGAGTAGACCGAGCAAGACGTGATGAAAAGTTGGGATCGTTTTGGGTTATGCGAGGGGTGTGGTCTAGAACTACCAGGTCAACAGGCTACGGAGCTTTCACCGGAGGACTTCCGATCAGGTGGGAAGCTAGGCAACTGCGGGATAGAGGAGATGGAGGGAGGGGGTACGGATAAATTATAGATTTTTTGATAAAGCTTGGACGGGGTGGCACTCTTTTTTCCCTTTGGTTCATGATCGGGGTGACGAAGAGGAGGATTCGGAGGTTGGGGCAGGTTTGAGAAGCAGAGCAGAGCAGAGGGAAAGATGTCATTTGCGTATGGAATAGCGAGCTGACAAGTGACGGGACGTTTCCCGCGAGGAATTTTGGTCAGACATATCAGTCAGTGAGTACGGCCGGCCGGCCGGTCATGTCGTCTTTGATGGGGGTTGGTAGGTAGGTTGGTTGGTTGGTTTCCACACACACTCACACACACCCGAGCCTCAATGAGGCTCGCTGGATAAAGTATTTACCAGATAGTGCGATAGCGCACCCAGATGGTGGGATGGATGAGGCGAACGAGGCGGACGAGGCGTGTGCTGAGCGGGCTCGCTCTTCACGTTCTCGGCGGCTCTGTCGCGGATCACGACGCTTATCTGTGCCTGCCGCAAGCGAAGGGCGGCTCTGGCGGGCGTGTTTGTCGTATTCGACGGCTCACATCTCTCCCACGCGAAATCGTGATGTGGTGGGTAGCACGGGAACGGGTTGGCTGTCTCAAGCCTCGAGATACGGACAAGACTCAGTTGTATTCCCGGCCGAAAGAGAGGGGTTTTTTCTTCCTACCCTCTGCGACGGGCTTCGTCCGGGCTTGAACATCTCACTAAGTATACCCAAACAGTCCAGTACCTAGCCCAGTAGCAGCCAGTGGAAGCTCGTGAAAATGGCGCCTCCGCCTCCGGGTTTATTTCTCTTTCGCCCCCCGTTTGCGGAGCTTTTCCCACGAGAATCGGAGTTTTTCACGGTGGTACGGCGGCCGAATTTCAAAGGAAAGGGCGCAAGGGGACGCACGCATTGGAGGGGCGGGCCGCCGCCCCCGTTTTATTTTCGTGGTCCGTCGAGGGGGCCGTCGACCAGTGAGAGAGCGGTCTTTTTTTGGCTCTCTTTTCTTTCATTTTGTTGTTCCCGAGGGAAAAGGAGGGCCGATACGGATATCATAACGGAGGTTCGCCGTGAACGTGTTGTGTGTATTCATAGGACTTGTTATGTTCTAGGCGCTAAGCTAATTACACCACGAGTACGCCCGTTTGAGGGTGTACGAACTAGAAAAATGTAAGACACGTACACACACATGCGAATACAGAGAGAAACGAAAGGAAAAAGAGGATGCTAGGCTCGAGTTGATGAGATTCCAGTCTTAGTCTAGGAGGAGATCGTCGATCAGGGCGCAGAGGCGTTGATGTTTCGTTCTATGCGTGGTTTTGTTCTTGTGCCTTGTGCCGGCGCGCGTTTAGCTTACACGCTGGGCTTGGTTTGGGGGATGAGACCAGCTTCAGTTGTGGTTCTTCTATCCCCGCCCGCTTCCAGTACCCCTCCACTAATCACGAAATAAGGAGACTCGAACTTCACTTGATTGACGCAGACGGAGGGAGTTTCTTGGCTCTTACGTGATTGAGCCGCTGCCGCGCCCCAGAGACTGGGGAATGGAGACAGAAGCGGAGTTGTTGCCTTTTTCCCCGTGGGAAAGCAAAATTGAGTGCGAGATGATCAGGAGATTCTTAGTGACCTACGGATGGCTATCCGGGTTCTGAACATCTGCTTCGAGTTCAGATTGCCCAATTCGTTGGTTCATGAGTGTGATGTGGTGTACTATGTACACTAAGACTTGATCTACAATACTTGCTGCAAGAGTCAGATCAGCGAAACCAACCAACTGTGCCAATCTGACAGGGCAATTCTCTTCGGGGATTTTTACCACGTATCTCTCCGTAGTAGAGGAGGGGCTGTCCATGGAGGAACTAGCTATATGGAATTGTTACTTGTCGACTTTATCGATCGATGCCAGGATTCAAGAGGCTCTGCAGAGATAGTCTCGTAATTTGTGTAAACACACGCCCTGTCTCCATCGCAATTGAACCGAGTCGAACTACTAATCCAGGGGCGATATTGAAGTTGAATCTCATTTTCCGAGCTCAAGAGATGTAATTCAGCCGTTTACGCACATCATCATGCCCAACACCCAAAGTCCCGAAACTCGCTTCGCATGACGGCAGGCGAAATGGCGGGGAGGGGAGGGTGTCTCACCTGCGAGAGCTGGCGCAGACAGGAGCTCCCTTCTCTAGGCACAGCTCTTCACTTTGTGTAACCATGTCTATACGTTAGTCGATTGGAACCTTTCAGGTTGGTCCGGTATGTCACTTGTCCAGGTTATCTGGGCCAATACATGCGTCTTAGGTATCAGTGTATGGTGTAAGAGTTGACGAAGGCACGAAGGGTATCAGTACCTGTACTGGAATTGGGATCTTTGGAGGGGGAGTATGCTGAAGCTCACGCAACATCCACACCCTTACATCTACACGCACATATGCTTCGCTGGCGTTGCTGACCCCCGGGGGATACTGCAACGTCGCGGCATGCGTTCTACGGGCGTACAACGTACAGCATGCACGCCATGCCTCATGCCCATGCCCCGTTTTCCCAGGCCTCTTTTTTTTCTTTTCTTTTTACGCATGTTTATACGCAGACGAACGCTGTCTCTCTATTCCCTATCTCCCAGATTGCCCCCATGTCGTGCATATGATGGAGTACCCACAGTATCTATGCAAACCGATATAGACATTGCGACGAGAAATTCTACGGTTGGATGAGAGTTCGGAATACTGGAACCTGTAGGAAGAGGGAACCGCTTAATGATGAGTGCGATAGGGAGTGGATTCCCCCGGAGGGAAGTCGGAAAGACTAGATGACGTTCTCACAACTCAACAGGAATCTTGGTTCGGGAAATGGCAACATCATTTTGGCTTCTGAGTAATACCTATCGCCCGAGCCAGGAATGGTTCCCTCCCTCCCCCTTCCGCGTTCTCCCCGAGAGGCTGACTGGGGGTAAGGGGGGGGCTCTCTGGGCCCATCAACGGCGCCGCGCCGCGGCAGGGCGCGGATCCGCTGCCGCTGCGACGGGATTTCAGTAAATAGTGATAGATGCGTGATGTGGATACTCGAGGCTTGGATGTGGTGTGTACTGAGGACGTTGTTCATACTGTTTGGCTGGGAATGGATGAATTGATGGGAGCGGTTGACGGGATATTGGATTCGCGGTAATGCAAAACACACCACCAACAGCCCATTGAGACATATCCCCGGATTGTCGCAAATTTGACAAGAGGGAGCACACACGCACAAGACATGCACATAAACATACAGCTTTGACAGGTTGCAGGAGGTGGTTGAAGGTGGTGGTGGGATGGGACAACCACAGAGGTGCCGAGTCTCTTCGCGTTCTAGGCCCCGCCATGCTCCTCCTCTGGGCGCCGCCCCCGCTTCACCGGAGCAAAACCCCTCCGTCATCATCTACATGTCATGGTGCAGCCGCTACGACGCCTGAAAAACAGGCGAAAGAAGTACGAAGGAGGAAGAGACGCGTCTCGTGTGAATGTAGCTGTACCAAGCCATGACTTGATGAAGAAGGGGGGCGATACGGGGCTGGGGGACGAACGGGATGATGCACCTTGACCTTCGGCTGGGCGGGACTGGGGTCGTCGTGAAGATGGGGTCGCACGGCGTCGCTCGGCGTCGCAAGATGGAGGCTCGGTCTAGGTGAGGTAGGGGCTGTCCCTTCGACGGTTCGACCACGCCGAACCCTTGGACTGGGCGGGATTGCGCTGGCGGTATCACATGCTGGACGTTGTGGTGGTTTCTGGCGTTCGACGACAACGACATCCACCACTGCCACCAGGGTTCATAGATGAAGGGGGATGGGGCGCGCATATGCAGAACTGGGATGGATGCAGGTAGTCATGATTGCATGTATATCGGGGAGCAGATATAGAAATGTGCGATTGGAGGTGGGTATTGGTTGGTATCGAAGCTGTAGTCGCCGAGACACAATAAGTCGAGATGAGGTGGACCTGCCTCCTCCTCCTGCTCCGCCATCTCCTGTTGTTGTTTCTTTTCTCTTCACTTTGCAGACTCCTCGCTCTCCGCATTTAATGAAGGGTGGCCAAGGTTTCCCGTCACGACACCGTCAGGTTGCCGTACGTTATCTCTGCTGGCCAGCCCCCTCTCCTGCACGACGGCCGATCAGGTAAGTCCTTCAACTAGGCACACCAGATATACGAAAGGCGCTGGAGAAGCTGTTCTCTGGGAGCTTTGTCAGCCTTACACCGGCTGCAAGTTGAGCGAAGCGAGGCGGAGTTGGTAAAGGCCTGGACGACGCGGTTGGGATATCGGTCACGGTCGTGGAGGATGGTGAGGCTTCCCGTGTGGCGTGAATGAAAGAGGTGTCCCCCAGGTTGAGGTGTCACTGAGAAGTTGTGTCACCAAGCCGGCATCGACATGTCCATCTCGGTGACAGTGACATCGAACTATGCCTGCGGGGGCGGCGATTCTGTAAACCGAGCGGGCGAATCTCAGCTTTCCTTCGCGAAGGCGACCTCGGGAGGAATACGGAAGCTCGCGCAGAACATGCGCTTCTTCGGAGCAACGTCCCGCACGTTGTAAATGGTCATTTCCCCTTGCTTATCCGCATCTCCAAGCTTGAACTTGACACCGATCTCGGCGTGGATGCGTTCGAGAATGTCATTCAGGGGTACCTCGTCGTCGCTCTTGAGGGCGAAGCAGTGAACGTGGACCATGGGCAGCTTCGCGGACGTGTGAGGTTCGAAGAGCTGCTCGTGTCCGCGGTAAATACCCTTGTAGTGGTTCACAAAGGTGTAAGCCGAAGCTGGTAGGTTCATGACGAAGTGAGAGATTGTAGGAGGGATAGGGATGTGCTTCGGCTCAGGAGGCGGATTTTGGGGCTTGCTTCTCGATTGCTTGGGCTTGATGACAGCGCCCTCTCCCTTCTTCGAAGCCTCGTAGACTTGGTGAACGGCCTCTTGAATAAACTTACGGCCGTCCATGTTGTACGGGCGGACATACTGCTGGACCTTGTTCTTCTGGACCGCTGCATTCAGGTACTTGTAGCTTTCGGGGTTCATATCGTTGGCGAAGACGAAGACGCCCTTCCTACCTGCTGGCACGGCAAACGGCCCGATGCCCGCCATGACATCTGCGACAACTTCTCCCGGCTTGAACATGCCGATGAGTCTGGTGTGTTCAGGCTCGAGCTTGCTGTTCCAGTACACCTTGGAGTAGTCGAATTGGAAAACGCAATCGTTCTCCTTGACCTCGACGTTCATATCCTCGGGTCCGCAGAGAACCTCGTAGGCAAATGTTCTGAACTCAGAGTTGCCGCCGACATCGTCCACCTTGTTGATAACGGTGGTAATCTTGGGGTTCTTGTCGAGGATGACCTCTGCGATGATCTTCTTATAGGGGAGGTACTGTTCCTTGAGGTTGAGGTGCGCTGCGAAGGTCAGTGGCTGGTTTCCCCGTGTTACTTCGGTTGACATACCGACATGCCCAGCCGTATTGAATCCAACTGGGATCTCTACGTGAAGTTCCTCAGGCAAGATGGATGTCATCACATCAACTTCGTCAGAGGTTAGCCAGTCCCATTTTCTGGTCGAGACAAACCACACTCACGGTAGCTCCAGTAGTCATAGTCGAGCTGCAGCTCGTAAGGAACCACATCTAGCTCTCCGGTCTTGATACCCTCCTGGAAGACAGGACCCCATGTCGTCGGTGCTGAGTTCTGTGTTAGTCACAGGCTCAAGACATGTACTAAGCATAAGCGGGGTACATACTGTCAGCTTTCACGCCAGGTCGCAGCAAAAGACATTTCAAATTTGATGACTTTGGATCAGTCCTGCATGAATCCAGACGATCGAGTCTAAGGAGCTCATTGCCCTTCTCTAGCTGCTTGCGATACTTTGAGATGTTGCGGGGGTCCTTGACCGTGGCGGCAGCGAGTTCCAACTTTTTAGAAAAGAGGGAACGGTCAAGAATTGTAGCCGCGCGGGCAAGAGGCGCGCGGAGACTGATCATATCGGAGTTTGAGTTCTTCACGATGATGTTAGCACAACATTCAAAGAACTAAGCCTGGCCGGCCGTGCAGGGGTCTCGACTTACCGCCATGTTGATGAGTCGATGGTCGGGCACAGTCATGGAGGGGCAAGGCTGAGGAAAAAACCCCGTCTAGGGCTGAGGAGCAGGGGTCCCCGGATGTGGCGTAATGGCGAGGCTGATGTTCGGCGGGTACGAGAGTGGAGCCAGGACGCCACAGGGTGATGTCACTGGAGCTCCGTGATCTAAGCGTCATTGATGATTGGTCGACAGGCCTGTCTGAGAGGAATGTGAGAGATTGGTCAGTGTACTTCACCTCAGCTTTCGTGATGGTCGTAGGGTTTGTGTCTTGTTAACGTTCATTTGTAGAGTTAAGCGTCTTTCAGGCTAGAATACCGGCTGCTGCTTGTTGATTAGAGCTTTCAGTTGCATGTGGATGCTGCTCAACGGGCCCCGGTTCATCCAAGCTTGCCCTCAACTTACACGACACTTCTCATTGTCTAGAAGCCCTTCATACATCATGTCGAAGAAGCGGACCCTGGACTCCTTCTTTGCGCCATCTGTGAAGAAGCCGCGCAAGGAAGTTGAACCAAACGAAGTCGTATGTTTAGTTGCAACTCAAATTCATTTGTAGGGCTCACTACTGACAGAAACTCATGAGTATCAGTTCGGCCAGTCCACTCACGCCAATTATCCCATACCTATCTCAGAGCTTCCCACAAGCATCAGTAAAGAGCTCTCCTCACTTCCTGCCCGTCCAGGCAAGGACATGAATGACCAACCAGACCTCGACCTGGTGTATTTTGAGCCTTATATTCCGTCGTACATGGCCAAAGATCTCTTTGAGTTTCTGCGCTCCGAGTTGCCGTTCTATCGAGTGGAGTACGATATCAAGAGGGGCGGCTTCCAAACTCATATTCGCACGCCACGGTAAGGAGGCTCTCCGTGTTTAGGTGTATGACACCGACTCACATGAATAGGTACACCACGGTATTTGGCTTGGACGACACATCGCGATTTGACGACGATGGCTCCGTCATAGACAAGAAGTCTGGCTTCAAAGTCGTCGACAAAATGTACCAGAGATACCCACCGCGACCAATCCCCAAATGCCTAGACGACCTCCGTCGCTCAGCTGAGACCGCAACAGACTGTAAGTTCAACTTCTGTCTCGTCAACTACTACGCCTCGGGCACGGACAGCATCTCCTTCCACAGCGACGATGAGAGGTTTCTTGGTCCAGATCCAGCCATTGCCTCCTTCTCCCTCGGCGCTAGGAGGGATTTCCTCATGAAGCACAAGCCGATACCCCCAGACAATGAGCATCCGGATAGACCGCAGCCCAAACAGATCAAGCTGCCCCTGGCCAGCGGCGACATGATCCTCATGCGTGGGCGCACTCAGTCGAATTGGCTTCACTCGATACCTAAGCGAACGGGCAAGAATGCGGAGGATGGTGGGAGAATCAACATCACGTTTAGGCGAGCCATGGTGAAGGAAGGAACTGATAATTACTACAACTATAACGTTGGAACCGGACCTGTCTATCGATGGGACAAAACGATGCGGGAAATGCGGGTATCTTCCGCCCAAGACCAGCTCAAGGGAACGTCATGACAACTCTCGGGGTATACGCAGCCCAAACACCTCTCTATTTGCCTTTGCGGAACTGTGCGCTGGAAAAGTTGAGCAACGCTCTTAAGAAGACTTGATATCCGACACCCTGGTTATCCGGCAAGCAGAAGATCTCCGTGAGGCGGATGGGCCAGGGCGGGTAGCCATCGAGGTCGACGTAAGGGCCGAACGAAATGAGCAGATCGGGTTCCGGCATGATTCCCTCGGACAACTCTGCATCGATCAGATCCGTGCTGATGTCACGGGGGTGGAGCTTGCCCTTTTGTGACATCTCGGTCAAGGTGCGAGTGAGATCAACCATGGACGCCCGCCCATCCTCGGCGGAGATGAAGAGAACCTTGAGGTGACGTGGGTCGTTGCGCGCGAAATCGCCGTGGGCTGGGGACTCGAGAACGTCGTCGGCGTGCGGCATGGCCACAGTCAAAGCTGGCTGGTGTCTACCGAAGTAGGATCGCGACTTCTGGATGATGGATTGTTGCAGGTGAGGAAGGTAATGCTTAAGAAGACCTAGGGAAGGAAGAGTCAGTGGGGCGATGGTATATACACGTAGAATCAGGAGCTTACCTGTCCGCTCGTACACCGTCAAGACGGGAATCTTGGCGCAGACACACCACACGGCAATCTCGGCCGCTTCGGCGACCAATCTCTCCAACTCAGCTCCGTGTCTTCCACTTGGCTCGCGCTTCAAAATGACGCTGAGATGCTTCGGCTTCTTCTTCAGACCAACAACGTCCCGCTCGATATATTCCGGGGTTCGGTGGTGGTAGAACATGATGGAGGAAATATGGTAGCACACCAAGTGCCATGCCTGTCGTACCCGAATATACAAAGAGAAAATGGCGTGGAGAATTGTGTAAATTGCAAGGTGTAGCTTCGAGCGAAGGGCGCGTCTCAGGCCGAACCTGCCCTTTGGAGGAATATCATCGTCGCGCCATTGCCGTCGTGCGTCTTGGGGTGGGCCGTCTGGGAGGTAGCTCTGGAGGAACAGCTGTCAGCTAACGGTCGAGCTTTGGGAAACTTGCGAGTAGCTTAACTCACCTCGAGCAGTTGCTCCTTCTCTTCATCCTTGAGGTCCACGACATCGTCGGTCCTGTAGACCTTGCGGACCCTCGTGCTGGGCATGCTGGTGAATATCGGTGGTGTCTCTCGGCGCGCGATCAGTCAGGAAGCGCGGTTGTGGGCGTGTAGCTGCGAGGTGGGATGCTTGGGAAATCTGTTGAGCAGAGGGAGGGAAAAGGCCAGTGTAAAAGTTGGCGCGGAACTAGTTATGCGCTGAGTGGGATATATGGATAGGTTTACGTCGTACGCGGCGTGTCTTCGCAGTTTGCCATTCGTTTCTTGGCAGGATGACGACGGCTTTGGGCGAAGGAAACTTGTCGAAGTTTGGTCTTGTCGCCCAGAGTCAGTTCGGTTCAGCGGCTGCCATGGATTTCCACTTCAGTGAGTGCAGACGCAACGCGGTAATACGACATTGGCACATTGGTTGGGCTGGTGGATTCCTAGTGGATGCTGCGCCGCTACGTCCAGCAAAGCTGCCCGTGGCTGAGGGCTCAGCTGAGGTGTTCTCTCCCCAATCTTTCTCTTCCGTGGGGCACATGGCAGGGCGACAAAAGATACGTATCCTGTCCAAATTGGGCAAGGTCCATGAACTCCAGCCACCCGGTGGCGGCGGCCGGTACAAGCTCCGGTTGACCCATAAAAGTTGAGCACACTTTCGGGACGCCGGGGCCATTCTTGAACGGGCATCCCGGTGCCATCGCTGTCTCCTCGAGATGTTTTTTTTGACTCAATGAACGTCTACAAATGATGTGGAATATGATCCAAAAACCCAGAACAGCGACACTGGCTAAGGTTAAGGGTTCCCAGACCGCTCTTACCTTCACATCTCAATGCGCTCAGAAGGGGATCACCCTCTTCGCGAAAGCAATAGGGGGGCTTAGTTGTTGGTTCTGTGGCCTTGGTTGAAGCAGTCTTTTTTCGTTTTCTTTTCCTTTCGCATCTCACGGCGGTTCCGTGTTTCGTAATTTACAAAAAGGGAGAAGAGACATAATAGAGACATAGGCAGTCGGGATTAGGATAACAGAGATGAGACCATGAAGGCCAGCTCGTACTCTGTCTTTCGACTCGGCTTACTACCATAACTACGTATAACTGCGTCTAGGAGACTTTGGATCGCCTAGAGATATTCTAATCGAACAACCCATGCTTTGAGCGGCAGTCATTTGCTACGATCTGATATCGCAAGCAAATAAGTTTGGAATAGTTCTCATGGAGTTGCCCAAGATCCTAGAAACGATCAGTTGGGTGGAGAACCCTCTTCAAATTCTCTTTGATTATCAGAAGATAACTGTAAAGAGTCCCATTGATGCTTATCTTGGTATCAGTCGATGACTTGATGGTTTGCGAGCAAATGAAAGCCAAGCGTTAAATGAGAATGGGCGAGGACAAGCCACCCCAGTCAAGACGAACTCCGTAACAGCTATGTCTTGTCTATCACCTGGTAGATGGGCGACATCACGAAAAGGATTGTCTTCGAATAGGCACAAACGTAGCGGTAAACGCAGGCTTTGGTTGATTTTTCTGCAGGCAAGCCATCGTCTAAGCGATCCATTAGATAGAGGAAAGAACCTCAAGCGTATCATTATGTTTGCGGGCCCTCGCTGGTCGGTTCATATAGGCTCATGTCATTGCCTCTTGGTGCTAGCGAGCTCATGTATTGATTCTCAACCGGGTCGGACGATACTTGCCGTGTCAGTTGGCACAGTGGGACAGGTGTGCTGCTGGGAGAGGGGGAAAAAGTCATTTCTACCGCCAAAGTCGCCTCACAGCTATTCTGAAGAATTAATCGTACGGCAGCGCAGTACCCAAATTCTGAGTCAAGTCGATAAGCGTCACTCTCCTAAATCTGACGACTCCAAGGTAGCCCCTGCCGAAATAGAGGACTTGGCTGAAGCAGACTATGACGACACAGATGAGTCTTCTTTAGTGTTACACTCAGAAGAATGGCCTAAAGAAGGACGCAATAGTGTCACGGATACTTCCAGGCGTACTGAGGAGAGGCTCGAATATCGACAATATGATACGTCCTGGCCAAATGTCTTGATGCAAGTCGCAGGTACTTGTCATAGCCGCCACAGTCGAGGCCGCTTACACCGCCTGTTGGAAAAAACTAGCTGCAGGCGGTTCAACTGAGGTCGAAAGTTTAAGACCTCCTGGTCCAAGTATATACATCTGAACAGAATTCCGAGCAAACACAGATGAGTTTGTGTTCCCTGGAGAATAGTAATCTGAGCCAAGAGCACCAAGGTAATCCTAACAAAACTCGAGAAAGGCATCGTACTAGCGGGATTGAGGATCAGTTGGATATGACAGGCATCGTGAGAGTGACGTCTAACTTGATTCTCAGCCACTCTGACTAGGACTCTTGGGGAGGAATC